CATACAGACACTTAGAAGAAAAAGGTTGTAACTTTAATTAGCGATGGTCCGATGCAAAAAATGAGGCTAACATTAACATCCACTAATCATGATGTTAGTTATGGTAATTATTGAACTGATTAAATCGGCCTAACGTCAAAGCCCAAACTGTCCCAAACTGTCTTTGTTCTTCTGCTGATCTGACGATTTCAAAATTATTCACACTAATGCAACTAGTGAAGATTAAAAAAAAAGTGCTGGTTTAACATGTTCAAGGCTCCGTTACTGACATGTTCAGACCTGCCAGAAATAAACTGAAGCTTCTTCTCTGTAGGAGCCAAATATTAAAGCCGCCACAGTAAGATAAGCCTCTGTAAGTTATCTCTGTGTCTGTGTGTGTGTGTGTAGTAGTAGTAGTAGAGGGGTGTTTGTGTGAATCCATTTGAGTGAGCCTTATCCATAAGTAGACATTTGTCAGGTGTTACTGACCTTTGTCAGAGCAAACAGCCTGATGCTCATTCTGAAACTTAAACCTTTTGACCCCTCATCTGCTGTCACACCATTTACTGAATGTGTGTGTGTTTGTGTGTCTTTGCACGGAGAGGATAGTGTGTTAAAAATGTACGTTGCTCAGCAATAGCACTCCTCAATGCAAGGGCGCCCTTTCTAATCGATATGAAAGGTCAGAGGTCAAGTTACTGGAAAAAGTCTGGATTCCAAACACTGGTCTAACAACGCTGGCCAGGTTGCCACATCTGTTTGTCGACCTCTGTGTTTGTGGACTTTGTTTGCGTCTGTGTGTCCGCTAGAAGTGTCACTATGTTTGTGTGTTTGAGCCTGTGTTGGGGACGGGTTATATTGTCTAATCAGTTTTGGTCAACACCCCCCCTCCCTCCCCCCTTCTTTCTCCCCGCCTGTTTCTGGGGATATATAAACGCTGCGCAGACACACAATCTTTTCTTCACTCTTGTTTTTTTGAAGAGACAACAGACCCCGAGGTAAGCCTGGATGTGCCTGCTTGCAAGTGGTTGACTAAATTAAATGCTTGTCGGGGCGCCGACGTGAAGTTAATGAACAGAAAGATGTCTTATTTTGGTAATCTACAGGGGTTGAATCTGTTGCATAGAAAATAATTGATGAAAAATGCTGTAGAATGTATAGAAAGTCATACAGTTTTAACAAAATATTGCAGTTCTGTCTGTATTTAAAGTTGGATGTGATGCTTGTAGCTCTGCATCCATCAGCAGAGGTTGACCTCTGAGGATTCTCACCTCTTTAATCATCAGTTTAAACCTTTGTGTTTTTTTTTTTAAAGCTGTTAAATCAGCATAAAATCAGAAAAAAAAAAACGTTTTAGATTTTTAAAAAACTCCTGGCTTGTTTTGCTTTTCTATGTGATGCTGTGTTAAAAAACAAAAACAAACTTTATTTTTAGGTTATGCTCTGGGTGTCGTGTGTCTTTAGGAACCCGGTGAAAGATGAGGTGTCAGTCAGTCATTCTGATTGCGTAAGCAAAGTCCTGTTGGGTGCAGCAGGATTTCATCAAGTCTTTTTATATCTACTGTCCTTGCAGTCCCTCCTGTTAACTCGTATTGAAATCTACTCTCGGCTCTTATCTCTTTTTTGTCTTGATTAAAAGACAAAGCTCTAAGCAGTCAAGTAAAGTCAACGTTTCACACTCAGAATGCTCTTAAATTAGGAACTTTATTGTCATTTTGGACTCTTAATTAAATAGTTGTAAAGTTTGGAAGAAACTCAAATTCAATGACATTTTCAACTGAGTAGGGTGTCATAAGAAACTTGTAGTTATTTAATATAATACTGGTACACAGGTGTAATATGATGCTTAGCTTAAACAAATATTTTTAATGCAACCAAGTGTTTTAAATGGGCTCATTTACCAACTAACACAAACCAGTCCTGATTCTGTTAACTTAGCGTTAACCGAACATCTGGTCTCAAACTTGCAGGATTTCTGTTGCTTGTTTCTTCGTCCGCAACCTCAGGACTCCATACAGGGTTGCTTTGGAAAGCCAAGAACATGGCGTTCTCCTCCTGCAGGCTGTAAATAACAGTTTAGGAGTTGGTGTGTAATATGACAAGCGATGACTTGTAGCCTCTATACCATTTGGCCCTCCTCTTTAAGCAAATGTAGGTCACAGTAGTTAATATTAGTGCATATCTGTCCAAGTATGGCGCTGATGTTATGTCCCCTTAGCTGGTCTAGGAGGTATAGGGGACAGACGTGAATCAAGATAGGGAATTGGGAGACAAGAAGGAATTTAAGATGTTTTTTTTCTCTTCTGTACAGATTGATATTTAGCTTTAGGTGAGCTCAGGCAAGCATAAACAAAACAACCCAAAAAGAAAAGTTGAACTTACCTAGTTTGGAAAAAAAACTATTAAACAAAATATATAAAACTATAAAATAACTGGACTAAAAATCACAAAAACAAGAAAACACAGGCACTAAGCAAAAGGCAGTCAAATGAGCAAAAGACCTAGAAGTGCTGCTTCACAGACATTAAATAGGACGCAAGTAATAGAGGATTGGCTGAGACCCTGAAAGAGGCACCCAATCCTAAAGGAGGAGGCGGAGCCTAGAGCTAAACACAAGGCATCACTTCATTTAAAAAATCTACTTTGGTAATATGACAGTGATCTAATTCCTTATATGCATGATGTGTTTTGCATTTATTGTTAAATCATGTCTGAGGGAGTTAATTAGATTCCTCGATCCAAGCAGGGGTTGGGGGATAAAAACTAAAATCTAAATGTTTCGGCTGCTGCCATATTCAGGAGTCACCACAGCAAATCCTTATTATTATGATTTACCAGATGCACCTTCTGACGAAAGCAAGATTCAAACCACTTCACCATGGGGGCGGTTTTTAAAAAGAAATATGTAAAGAAAATGTGTTGTTAAAGGTGGTGGCTACAGGTTTAACTCCTCCCAGTCAAATAACCTCCAACAAAAAAGCAGCAGACTCCATGTGGCATCTGAGACCGTTTGCAG